TACTTTTCCTTTGTTTAAGGGTATTTGGGCAGTTTATTCTCTGTTATATTCTCAAGTAAACAATACATACAAGTACAGTACAGTATTTTCTGAGGAAACACTCGTACTTATTTTTTTTAACCCCATTCCCGATAACCCGGCATTTTCACAAACTCGGCCACCCTTCAGTCCACATTAGGCCGAGTTTTCGAGGTTCTACTGTATTCTTATTTTTATTGTTATACAATGCCCAAAAGTAAATTAATCAAGACATATTTTAAAAATACATCTTAGTAAATTAATTTTTTTAACATATTAATTTAAAATGACTGTAAATTTAATTTTTCCAAATAACAGAAGTTCCACTAATCATAAAAATTTAATTAAAAGTTAAAATTTTTAATATTAAAATTTTAAAAGATAATTACTTACATCAATGAACACAGGAGAATTTAAAAAATTGGAGAATGCTGCCAAACAATTATATGCTGTAATAAAATCAATATCATTATTTTAGTTATGTATGAACTTTTAATTAATGTTATAAAAGCGTCAAATTTTAACCTGTTTCTTCAGATAAATCTGCTTGTAAAAGTTGCAAAACTGCAGTAGCTAATTCAGTGATTGTATTATTACCAAGTTTCTACGGAAAAACAATCTTTATAAGAGGAAGGGACATAACAAAATCTGACATGAGTATAATGAAATGAGATCAAACCTTATTTAATGAAAGATTATATAAAAAGTCTGATCCCATATTTTGCAATTCTGAAGATTCACTCAATAAACTATCCACAACAGCATTAGTTGTTACTTTACAATTAGTTAGATTTCTGTCACAATAGGACCACTTCCTTTCAGACATAGACCACTTAAAACTTTCCTCAATTGTGGATAAATTGCATAACTGAGAACATTAAAACATAAAAAATGAAAAAAAGTTTAAATTTTAAATTAATTAATGAAAATATAAGTTAGAAAAATACTTACGAATTTTAAAAGTTCTAATTGTAAATCAGCTGGCAGTTCACTCATATGAAAAATATATTTCATGATAAAGTTGTTTTTATCTTCACTTAACAATAATACAAATTTATTAGATAATGCTAAAGATTGCAACATTTGTAGAATCAATTTTTGGATTTCTGACGTATCTTCTCTGTCTAATAAATTCCCTATTAAAAATTCTAAATGTTAATAATTTTTAATTTAATAAAACAGAATATGTTGTAAAAAGTCACAGGGGAGATTCAAAAACATTTATTAACTTTTATATAAATCTTTAGATTGATACATGAAGGTGTATGATTATCCTGTGTGTATGGATTCAACTGACAGTCCTCAGGTTTTAATTAAAATATGTTCAAGTTATGTAGCTTTCATGTTATGTAATTTTAAAGTTACAAATTTATAATACTTATACAGTATAAATATTAATAATAATAACTATCTGATAACTGTAATGAAATACACACACACACACCACTTTCAAATGTATGTAAGCAAAAGAATAAGAATCCTAACAAAGAAAACCAACTTTGAAGGGAGCATGTACAATGTTGAGATTAATTAATAGTTTATTGAAAAGAGAAAAGTGGAAATGGAAACAAGATTGTGATATGATGTCATAAGGCATTGAAATAGGTATGAAACAAAATCCATTGTTTTCTAAATAGTTTTACTCATTTATTCAGTTTATTATCAATTCATTAAACAAACTTTTATAGACATGCATGTCTATATTAATGACTATAATCAAAACAGTTATTTTGTTGAAGTTAAGTTTCTGGTTAAAATAAGATCATTAATTTGATTTAATTAATGTTAAAATAAGGTAAGGCCAGGTAATTAAGGTTAATATAAATTAGCTATTTTTAAATAATACATAAGTCTTACCAAGTACTTGTAAATGTACTAATTCTAAATTAAAGATATCTCTGTTTTCTTTTGAATAATTTGCCAAATTCCTTAGCAGCTCACTTTCTGCAAGTTTATTTGGTGGTAATTTTGAAATTAAACTATTTACTACTTCTGCCATCTAATAATAATAAAAAACAAAACATTATATTAATTTTCAAAATAAATTATATAAAAATTCTTAATACAAAAGAAACCTCACATTATCATCATCAAATATTTTTGCTGGATTAAGATCAGTGGTGATATTTAATTCTGATTTCATGCAAGCAGAGAGATCATCCTGATGGTTTTCTAATTGGCTATAATTTTCAATATGTCTAGTATCTTCAGGAAAATCCAATGAATGATTTTGTTGAATGTTGAGATTAGTCAAATAAGCCTTTAACGTACTTCCTAAAGGACTGAACAAAGAAATAAATATATTTAACATAACAATAACTATTATATATATATAATATTGTCAATACATACATACGTATGTATGTATTGACAATATTAAATTCTAATCATAAAAGCATAATATGAAATACTTTTTAAAAATCCCTTGTATATGAAGTGAAAGTAAATGCAATTTTAATAAATATACAATAGAACCTTGTTTAAAAAATAATTGTTTTGTAATTCCTGTTTTTACAACTAGTATAAAAAATGTTTATTGAAACATAATACTTTTTTGTTGGTTAATAAATAAAAATAATTAACCATTCAATTATCAAAAAGACTACTTTTTAGCTATGCCAAAATGACAGATATCTTTTTGGCATAGCTTTCATGATTCCATTTTCTGCAGATTTTATATTTAATTTAATTTTCCTCTAAGTTAAGGTCTTTCAGTTATTGATGAATCAGCCATTGTTGTACATTCCATACACTGTTAAACCTAGCCTTTTCCTGAAAATGTATGGTCAGATCAATTCAAAAGCACCTAACCAACTTAACACACAATTCATAAATATTTTCAGAATGTAAGAGTTAAACAATGTTTATTTTGGCTCCTTAAGCATTAAGTAACTAATATTACACAATAACATAATCCTTCCCTCACATTTGGCAGCTTTTCTAACTGGTTTTAGGCTTAATGAAAACAATTCACCCCTTAGCAAAACTTTCACTTTTTATGGGATGTTTGCCAGACAGTGCAAAGTATTCACATGTAACTTACTGGAACCCATTCACTGCAGTGCTGTTAGTAGGGCAACAGGGACATAGCAGAAATTGCATACATTACATTAACTTATACTAGCATATCATTAAATAAAATCAAGTTAACCTTACTGTAATTAAATAAATTAATAAATTATTTTTAATTGTAAGTATTATATTTTAATAATAATTTAAAAACATCAGATGGCATTTTAAAGAATTTAAACACAACATTCAATTACATATGTTATATTCAATTTTATTTAATTCTTTCTAAACAGATTTGTTTTTATTTAGAAAGTAAAAGTAAACTGTTGAATTTTTGGTTTTTTGAATTTATATCATTTTTATTATCATATTAAATTGAAATTATTTAATTTGAGGGTTATGTATAATTTCAACTTATGACACTGAACCTACAAGAAACAGTATGGATCACCTGAAAATGATCAGCTTGATGATACGTTTTAAGAATCAGTTACATCGTAAAAGCAGGATTTCTATGCAATATGAAATTATGACAAAAGTTTAATATGTTAAACTTAAAACTAATTCATATTTTTTGTCATTTGATCAGTTATTTGAAATTGATTTTATTTTTATATTTTAGAAATTATTTGTCTTTGACCCATAACAAAATTTTTGTATTTGTTATTGATAAAGCATGTTTTGTATTAAAATGTTCATTTATTTTCTTTATACAGATTTTCATAAGTTAAATTCAAGTTACTTACGTTGATAATACTTCATTTGGTAGTTCTAAAATTTCTTGTGGAATAGATTTTCCAGTTAGAAAAACAGCTATCTCTTGACTGAAGTTGTTACAGTTATGTGTAAATAAATCATAACTATCTGGTCTGAAATTTAAATTTATTTTATTAAATTTATATATGAAAAAAGTACTTTGTTCAAAGTATTTTTAACAACATAATGAATCTGAAACAATGCCAACTATGTATAAAAGTAGATAAAAAAATAAATTTGAACTTTTTTATGTTTTGAAACTTATTTTGTTTTCTTTAAATTTGAAAATAGTTAAGATAGTTGTAAACATTATTTTTTTTCTGTGACTATTGTTGGATATTAAATATTTCTATTCAACTTTACATTTAAAACAATGCAATATTACTTAAAATGTATATAACAAGACAATTTTCTTTGATTTATCAGCCCTAATAACTATGACATTGTTATCCCATAACCTGTACTGAATTGTCAAAATAGAAACCTTAACAAGAAACTTAAGAATAAAAAACTGGAGAGTGAAAAACTGGAGAAATTTATAGTTAAAGAAGAAACTTTACAATAAAAAAATACAATTGATTTTTATACTTTGTACTTGAGTTTCTTTAATTGCTTGTTTTCCAATTAAACTTCCTAAAGATACAGATTTAAACATCTGTGAGACCAATAGTTATGTTAAAGACAAACTATAAGTAAAAGCTTCCTAAAGATAACTATTATCAATGTGAAAATGCTCAAAAATGAATCTATGTTTTTGTGTTTTGCTTGAAATTAAATTATGTATATAATTTTAGGTATATATAANTGGCCGTTTGGTTGGCGACACACTGCACTACTGAGCTCTATGTAGCAATGCAACACCGGTCGTGATGGCGTACACAAAACGAATTTGTTCAATATATTATTAAAAAAATTTTTTTTAAACTTTGCGTCAACTTTACAAAATAAAGGACAAAATGCCTATTTTAGAAAATAAATAAAGTTAAAGGACAGAGCAGTGAAATAAAGGACTTTCCTCTTAAATAAAGGACGTATGGTCACTGTAATTATTGGGCATCTTAAGCATTGAGAAAACGTTTTAAAATAATCAAAAATACAACTTCAGAAATCCAATAAATTCTTTATGAAACACGAAAAAATAGATGTTGGGTAATTATTTTTTAAAATGAACCCTGCGTTGCGTTCTAGAAAACATCGTTGGTGCACCACATTTTTGGCACGTGTACCAAGGGTTTCCCAACCCTGATGTGGATTTTCAACATGCTGTCCAGCTTACATTTGCAAATTTCACATGATTTTATATTTGATGTAATTAAAAACAAAATTACTACATGAATTTTTGTAATAAAGTGATATATTTTATTTTGAAATATTAACAATAAAATATATATACATTTTATACAACTTTCTTAAAACTTCTGAATACAATTTTTTGTAATTTTCCTTTAAAATTATTAAAATCAACAAAAATTTAAATAATAATTAACAACATAATAAAATTCATAATAACGTTTAATTGGAAATATAACAATTTAATCTCATCATTTTAAAAAATCTTTAACTTTTGTTTTTAAATTATAATTTCATTATATAGTTAGTTAATTTTTAAATTTTCCCTGAATGATTTCATTATCTAGTTATAAATAACAATAGAGATTAGATTAATATGAGACATCAGCACTTTAAGGCCATATGGCTGCCACAATACATCCATTATGAGTATCTATGACTCACAATAGGTTGAACAGCATGGTAAAGGATAGGGAACAATGGCCCTGATCCACATTGCCAGTGGTGAGTTATGGGAATTTGAACTGGGTTTGAACCCAAATTTGCCTAATTGGTAAGCTGATACCACATCATGCAACCATCTGGCTTAATAATGAGTATAGAGAAAGGATATGTATCTACAAAATTTTCAATTAAATGAAGCTAAATCTATTATTATAGATTGTTCTCATGATTAAGAGAAAAGCAAAGATCTTTGAGCAGAGATCTTTGAAGCAGAGAACATACCTTTGTCTTTTATACAGACAAAGATATGTTTTCTGCTTTTATCAAATTGTCATAAAACTATTTTGTAGTGTGTACAAGAAGTGAAGACAGAAGATGTCATTAACTGCAGTACATAAAATGCAATATTTGAAGAATATCTTTAAGAAATTATCTGTATTTGAGTTACGAGATCAAAATTTTATCTCTAATGTCTGTATTCACAACCTAGGATCAAGAGTTAGAAGTTAACCAATTACAATTCACTTTAGTATATAAATGCTTATTGGACTAAAATTTGAAAAAATTGTAGACCTATAAATTCCCACTTTTGTCTGCCCTACTGTCTGTCCATGCTTCCTTAATCTCGAGAACAGAGTTAGATAGATGAAAGTCAAGATCAGATATAAAAAGTTTAGGGGCAGGAGGCTCTGAATAACTATATACGAACTTCTGATGTAAACCGGAAGTCATGTTATTTCAATTCAAAAATTTTCACCTGAAAGGAGTTAGAGAGATGACCAATTGGCTCCACTACTGCTAACAGGAAAAATATAATATACAGGATCAAGACACTACAAATTTGAGGTGGAGAACATATATTTTAAATTAAATAAGTTAAAAATATGATTAAAACTTGCAGCCTGATGTCACAATAAATAATTGCTCATTGATTAACTTCTAACTCTTAACCCTTAGTTGTGAATATGGCTGTAAGCTAGAGTTTATAATTGTAATGAGATTAAAGCTGCAGTGAGTGAACTGATATAATAAATTTGATTAAAGAGTACTTTTGATTATGAAACAATCTATCAGGTAGATTTATGCATTGAGAAAGTGTTGTAGAGAAGATATATGTAATCTGTTCATTGTTGCTTTCTCTTTAAAAGAATAACTGGGTAAATTGGAATTGATATTTTATCTGAATCTATTTAAATGATAGTTTTTCTAGAATAAAATTTACTAATTCTCTATTTCTTTCTGATTGGTGTTGAAATTTCTGAAAGTCTGATTCTAGAACTTCAGCCAATGCCGAAATCTGAAATTTAGCATGTTTTTAATTATAAATCAGATTAATTACAATAATTTAAACCAGTCATGAGCAACCACAGCCTTGCAAGATCTTAATATGTGGCTCCTGAGACTTTGACAATGAAATTTTATTTTCCTTTTTTCTGCCTCATGCCATTAAGCTATCATCACAAAGAACATTCATATTAATATTGACCAGTGAAAATATGAGGATAAACTATACATTAATAGTTTTCATATCATTAGCATGTATTATTTTAGTACTTACTGCACTGGTGATTTATGGAGTATGTTGATATTAAGTAGGCTTAAAGCCTGCAACTACATAAGAAATCATGTAAGCTGCCTGCCAGAAGCCTACAAAGCTCACTTGTGGCCAACATTCAGAAGAGGTTGCTCATCACTGATTTAAATTCTACATTCAAAGATTCATCTAATGATACATTATCATCTAGGTTATTCTATTGATATTCAATGAATAATTACAAACTGAAAAATATGATTACTTGATAAAGATATGGATGATGCAATTGTGCTGGTACCAAATCTGCTGTAGTTTGCCAATGACAAGTCATCAAGTCATCTGCAATCACATTTATGATGTTCAGATATTGGTCTCTATTCAGAATGCTGTCAATTTTAATGGGAGCAAGAAGCTGCTCACCTACAATTCCATACCAGACATTTAAGATAAAATGCAGCACTTGATGTCACACGCATTGTGGAGCAGATACAGCTCAGTGCTGCACATTGTGGTAGACACTCCATTGCAGGAAAACATTGCCTTATTAGTGCATAAAAAGTGCAGGAGTTATGATCTACCATGTTGCACCATTTAAATTACTGTGCAGCATTCTCTGCATGTTGTGCGGGTTGCATGTAGCAGCGAAATTGGTGAATGTTATGGCAAATGTATATCTGGTGTATTTGTGTCTGCTGCAGCTCACTACTTAACCTAACCAATGCTAAAAAAGATCTTTTTTGAACCTGGATAGATGTTTAAGTGGACACCCTACATGTACTCTTACATTAATTAATTAATTGGTATTTAAGATTTAAATTTTAGTATTTTGCTGAGAACAGAATTTGGCAGTATTTTAAATAATAGTACAGGTATCCCTCATATAACATGGTAGTTACATTCCAAAAAAGTACCATATTATGCATATCTGTGCTATATGAAACAAAGATCAGATATTGGTTACTATTCAGATTGACTTCTAATACAAAACATAGGGTTAAGTTCCAAAAGTTAACAAACATACAGTACGACCTCATTTAGTGCTTAGGATGTGTTCCTACATGACAAAGTGTTAAATGAAATAGCATTAAGCGAGGTCATTTTAACACATAATAAATAAGGAAAGGGGAACATGCAACCAAAAATAAACAAATTTTACTTAAATTTTAAGTTATTTTTATATTAATTTGCTCAATAATGTGTTACATAACACATAAGCATATGCACACAGAAATATAAAGTTCATTTTTGTGATGAAGTTGAATCCTGGCTCTTATGAAATTCTTGAATTTTTTTGCAATGAAGTCGGTTAGTGTCATTTGTCATTTTCGTTTTCTCTCATTAAGCAAATATGAACAGCAGGAGATCGCATCCAAAATGCCTCGTCTTGCTTTTGCACTCCTTTCAAAATCTGAATCATTTGCTACAGTTTGGTAATGATAACTGAAATCATTGATCAAACTTTTACTAAGGAAATCTATAGCCAGTTCTTTGAGTTTTTGTTTTCAAAATCACTATTTTCCAGTTCTACATGAATTCCTTGTTCTGCCAGTTTATGAAAGTTGTTGTTGGTAAGGGTCTCACCAGAAACCTGTAGTAATGCCTCATCTACATCTAATCCTGCTGTATTGATTAGGTTGACAATTTGGTCAACGGTACACTCTTCTTGTTGAGAATCCTTAGATACACACACTCCGTTCATGCATTTATCAGTTAATTCTTGCCAAGTGAAGTCAATATTGCCTATGGCATCCATAATATTATATTTTTTCCCAAAATTGCACCAAACAAACATAGATTTAGGGGATGTACAGCGCTATGCTGAATTGCCACCTTTTAGCTGATTGGTTCGCATTTGGAAATAATCTTATTATATATATGAATCAATGAAATGTAGCAATAATTTAAATAAGCATAAATTTTGACCTTTTTTTTTAAGGCTTTGAGCAGACCACATTATATCAAATCAGCATTAATCAAGGAAGAACTAAACAAGATCATTCTGTACAGAGGTTTCTGGTTTCTACATGGTTATCAGTAATAGGTTTGACTGCATGTATGGTATTTTACTAATAAATAGCAAGTACAGTACATACCTATAATAGGTATAAATAAAACATTTTTGACATATTTTAAAAGAAAAAGTTTAATGTTACACTATCTGGAACCTGTGACTGGTGCTCGACGTGTATATATTGTATATCGCTTGACAAATGTTTTTTTTTGTTTTGTTTTTGTTCACTCTTCTTCGGGTCAACTGAAAATTCCCCGGACGGAGTGTATATCATTTGTTAGGATCGGGTGTCGGTTCTGACTGGGTGGGTTGTTTCTGGCATGCGCGGTTGTGTGGTGGGAGGAAGCGGCAGGTTGGCGTCTAACAGCGATTGCCAGGCCAGAGACAGGGTTAGCTCTTCCTTCCGGTTAACGCAGATGGTTAGCCGGTCGGCGTTGTAGATAGCCGCGGCCTCCAGCCATCTGAGATGCTGTTGGTGGGGCGTGTTGATGATGATAGTAGCCTTCTCGAGTTGCGCTTCGATTTCGGGATCCGACGCATATGTGGCCAGGGCTATGGTTAGCCTCCCGTGTCAGATATCCGCTTGGTGTTCACACAGGCGGATGCACAAGGAATGTTTGGTCGAGCCGATGTATAGTAGGTCCGTGTTCTGTCTGTTGTCTCGGAGTGGGATAGAGGAGATTCCGGGGAGTCTGGTGCGATTGGGAGGGTCTTTATCGTTCAGTAGGATACATAAAATTGTGGGGCATCTTTTGTATGCCAATCGTATCCCGTGCTCTCTGGCTATCTTCTTATGCACAGTCTTGAGGTGCGAGTTGAATGTGATGGGGACCCGTATTGGGCTATCTTGCTGTGGGTCGACGACATTTCTTGCGGTTAGGGTGTGTTTCTGGCATTGGTATCGTTCAACTAAGCAGTGTGTCATGTTCGGGAACCCATGCTCAGTTTCTATCCTCTTGATGCGGGCTAATTCATTTGTTAGGGCTTGCTTGGTGGATGAGTGTGAAAACGCCCTCTCCACCAGAGCCCTAAAGGCAGCTGCCTTGGACGAAAATGGGTCACAATAATCGGCTGATATGTACGTGGGAGTGGATGAGGGCTTGTGGTATACGGCCGTATGGATGGTGGGTCCTACTATTTTTATTCCAATGTCGAGGAAATGGACTTCTTCTGTACTAGCCTGCTCCAGTTCAACGGTTAGGCCAAAAGGGTTGTTGTTGACGGTTCTGACGAAAGATGTTATGTCAGGGACCTCCCTCCATACGATAAGAATGTCGTCCACGTATATTTTATAAATCAGGATGCTAGGAAGGAAAGATGGGAGGGAGCTTTACTTTCGAGCTGTCTGACGACCATTTCACAGAGGTCACCCGAGAGTGGGCTACCCATCGGTACACCCTTTTTCTGCCGGTAGATAGTGTCGCCGAACCTAAAAACAGAGTTGTAACACACCATATGGGCCACCTCGAGTACCCGTTGGTGTAGTGCTTAGTCTTGAACTATATTAAACAAAAAAGGTCACAGGTTCCAGATAGTGTAACGTTGATTTCACCCCCGTGCTGAAAGTAAAACAGTTCCTATATTTTAAGAAATAGTTTGTCAATAGTTTCTAATGCCTGATTTTCTTCAACCAATAAGTGCAAGCCAAACTCTTAACCAATCAGAGAAAATCAGCATTAATTGCAATTGTATACTGTATTGCAAGAGATGTTTCTCAATCACAATTTATGTCATCAAATTGGAGTCGCTGATCTTTGAATTTGTAATTGACACTTCACTCTATAATTTGAGATATAGAGATCTTGGGAGAAAATTATTTGAGATAAACATGAAAAATATATTGATTTTAAGCTGAAAATGAATGGAAAAAATATATTTTGAGATAAACATGTTTAAGAAAGACAGGCTCAACTGTATTTCAAATAATTTTAAAGTATTTTAAAACATTCTACTAAACAAGTCAAATATCTGAATTTTCAAGTACAATACTTCTGGCACAGTATTTTCAAATATTATAACTTACATTGATATAAGAATTATTTCAAATACCCAAGTATTTTGTACAGGGATAACTCATTTTAAGGTGTTCACTAATGTGCTTTTCAGTTATATTTGTGTTTATTATTTTCAGCATTTGCCTTGTTATTTAAGGGTTTTTGTCATAGTTCACCTTATTACTTTTACGTTCTGCTATTATTTTAAGCCTAGAACTATTGCATACTTAATAAATGATAGTGTATGATTTTAGAATTTTATATGCAATGGCAATTGAAGAAAAAGCTGTGTTTAGCTTTAAGAGGATATTTGCTTTAGGTGGTGGCCTGGAACCTAACCTGAGATGTGTGTCTGTATTTGATTTTGCAAATATTGAACTTCAGTATTTAGTATTTTGCCAGGATCTAGTTGACAAAGTTTCAATAACAATGTTAATATGAAATTCAATTTAATCAAGAATTCATTAATTTTCAGCATGTAATCATTCAATAATTATAAGTAATAATATCCAGTAAAACTCCATTACTGATTCTGATTTGTTTGAATACCACAAAGTGCCTGCTAGAGAACTTACAGAAAGTAGTACAGTAGAACCTCGAAAACTCGGCTCTCGATAACCCGGCACTCCGGATAACTCGGCCACACCCTGGCAGGGCAAAAAAATCCTTAGTTAATTAATTTTCATTATAGACAGCTTTATAAAAGTATAAAAGCTCTCATAAAGTATTTTTCTGAGGTCTGTCTTATCAGGTAAATTACTGTACACAGTGTATTCATTAATTTTCATTTTCATGTAGTAAAGGCTCTATGCCTTCATAAAGGACGTACTTTTCCTTTGTTTAAGGGTATTTGGGCAGTTTATTCTCTGTTATATTCTCAAGTAAACAATACATACAAGTACAGTACAGTATTTTCTGAGGAAACACTCGTACTTATTTTTTTTAACCCCATTCCCGATAACCCGGCATTTTCACAAACTCGGCCACCCTTCAGTCCACATTAGGCCGAGTTTTCGAGGTTCTACTGTATTCTTATTTTTATTGTTATACAATGCCCAAAAGTAAATTAATCAAGACATATTTTAAAAATACATCTTAGTAAATTAATTTTTTTAACATATTAATTTAAAATGACTGTAAATTTAATTTTTCCAAATAACAGAAGTTCCACTAATCATAAAAATTTAATTAAAAGTTAAAATTTTTAATATTAAAATTTTAAAAGATAATTACTTACATCAATGAACACAGGAGAATTTAAAAAATTGGAGAATGCTGCCAAACAATTATATGCTGTAATAAAATCAATATCATTATTTTAGTTATGTATGAACTTTTAATTAATGTTATAAAAGCGTCAAATTTTAACCTGTTTCTTCAGATAAATCTGCTTGTAAAAGTTGCAAAACTGCAGTAGCTAATTCAGTGATTGTATTATTACCAAGTTTCTACGGAAAAACAATCTTTATAAGAGGAAGGGACATAACAAAATCTGACATGAGTATAATGAAATGAGATCAAACCTTATTTAATGAAAGATTATATAAAAAGTCTGATCCCATATTTTGCAATTCTGAAGATTCACTCAATAAACTATCCACAACAGCATTAGTTGTTACTTTACAATTAGTTAGATTTCTGTCACAATAGGACCACTTCCTTTCAGACATAGACCACTTAAAACTTTCCTCAATTGTGGATAAATTGCATAACTGAGAACATTAAAACATAAAAAATGAAAAAAAGTTTAAATTTTAAATTAATTAATGAAAATATAAGTTAGAAAAATACTTACGAATTTTAAAAGTTCTAATTGTAAATCAGCTGGCAGTTCACTCATATGAAAAATATATTTCATGATAAAGTTGTTTTTATCTTCACTTAACAATAATACAAATTTATTAGATAATGCTAAAGATTGCAACATTTGTAGAATCAATTTTTGGATTTCTGACGTATCTTCTCTGTCTAATAAATTCCCTATTAAAAATTCTAAATGTTAATAATTTTTAATTTAATAAAACAGAATATGTTGTAAAAAGTCACAGGGGAGATTCAAAAACATTTATTAACTTTTATATAAATCTTTAGATTGATACATGAAGGTGTATGATTATCCTGTGTGTATGGATTCAACTGACAGTCCTCAGGTTTTAATTAAAATATGTTCAAGTTATGTAGCTTTCATGTTATGTAATTTTAAAGTTACAAATTTATAATACTTATACAGTATAAATATTAATAATAATAACTATCTGATAACTGTAATGAAATACACACACACACACCACTTTCAAATGTATGTAAGCAAAAGAATAAGAATCCTAACAAAGAAAACCAACTTTGAAGGGAGCATGTACAATGTTGAGATTAATTAATAGTTTATTGAAAAGAGAAAAGTGGAAATGGAAACAAGATTGTGATATGATGTCATAAGGCATTGAAATAGGTATGAAACAAAATCCATTGTTTTCTAAATAGTTTTACTCATTTATTCAGTTTATTATCAATTCATTAAACAAACTTTTATAGACATGCATGTCTATATTAATGACTATAATCAAAACAGTTATTTTGTTGAAGTTAAGTTTCTGGTTAAAATAAGATCATTAATTTGATTTAATTAATGTTAAAATAAGGTAAGGCCAGGTAATTAAGGTTAATATAAATTAGCTATTTTTAAATAATACATAAGTCTTACCAAGTACTTGTAAATGTACTAATTCTAAATTAAAGATATCTCTGTTTTCTTTTGAATAATTTGCCAAATTCCTTAGCAGCTCACTTTCTGCAAGTTTATTTGGTGGTAATTTTGAAATTAAACTATTTACTACTTCTGCCATCTAATAATAATAAAAAACAAAACATTATATTAATTTTCAAAATAAATTATATAAAAATTCTTAATACAAAAGAAACCTCACATTATCATCATCAAATATTTTTGCTGGATTAAGATCAGTGGTGATATTTAATTCTGATTTCATGCAAGCAGAGAGATCATCCTGATGGTTTTCTAATTGGCTATAATTTTCAATATGTCTAGTATCTTCAGGAAAATCCAATGAATGATTTTGTTGAATGTTGAGATTAGTCAAATAAGCCTTTAACGTACTTCCTAAAGGACTGAACAAAGAAATAAATATATTTAACATAACAATAACTATTATATATATATAATATTGTCAATACATACATACGTATGTATGTATTGACAATATTAAATTCTAATCATAAAAGCATAATATGAAATACTTTTTAAAAATCCCTTGTATATGAAGTGAAAGTAAATGCAATTTTAATAAATATACAATAGAACCTTGTTTAAAAAATAATTGTTTTGTAATTCCTGTTTTTACAACTAGTATAAAAAATGTTTATTGAAACATAATACTTTTTTGTTGGTTAATAAATAAAAATAATTAACCATTCAATTATCAAAAAGACTACTTTTTAGCTATGCCAAAATGACAGATATCTTTTTGGCATAGCTTTCATGATTCCATTTTCTGCAGATTTTATATTTAATTTAATTTTCCTCTAAGTTAAGGTCTTTCAGTTATTGATGAATCAGCCATTGTTGTACATTCCATACACTGTTAAACCTAGCCTTTTCCTGAAAATGTATGGTCAGATCAATTCAAAAGCACCTAACCAACTTAACACACAATTCATAAATATTTTCAGAATGTAAGAGTTAAACAATGTTTATTTTGGCTCCTTAAGCATTAAGTAACTAATATTACACAATAACATAATCCTTCCCTCACATTTGGCAGCTTTTCTAACTGGTTTTAGGCTTAATGAAAACAATTCACCCCTTAGCAAAACTTTCACTTTTTATGGGATGTTTGCCAGACAGTGCAAAGTATTCACATGTAACTTACTGGAACCCATTCACTGCAGTGCTGTTAGTAGGGCAACAGGGACATAGCAGAAATTGCATACATTACATTAACTTATACTAGCATATCATTAAATAAAATCAAGTTAACCTTACTGTAATTAAATAAATTAATAAATTATTTTTAATTGTAAGTATTATATTTTAATAATAATTTAAAAACATCAGATGGCATTTTAAAGAATTTAAACACAACATTCAATTACATATGTTATATTCAATTTTATTTAATTCTTTCTAAACAGATTTGTTTTTATTTAGAAAGTAAAAGTAAACTGTTGAATTTTTGGTTTTTTGAATTTATATCATTTTTATTATCATATTAAATTGAAATTATTTAATTTGAGGGTTATGTATAATTTCAACTTATGACACTGAACCTACAAGAAACAGTATGGATCACCTGAAAATGATCAGCTTGATGATACGTTTTAAGAATCAGTTACATCGTAAAAGCAGGATTTCTATGCAATATGAAATTATGACAAAAGTTTAATATGTTAAACTTAAAACTAATTCATATTTTTTGTCATTTGATCAGTTATTTGAAATTGATTTTATTTTTATATTTTAGAAATTATTTGTCTTTGACCCATAACAAAATTTTTGTATTTGTTATTGATAAAGCATGTTTTGTATTAAAATGTTCATTTATTTTCTTTATACAGATTTTCATAAGTTAAATTCAAGTTACTTACGTTGATAATACTTCATTTGGTAGTTCTAAAATTTCTTGTGGAATAGATTTTCCAGTTAGAAAAACAGCTATCTCTTGACTGAAGTTGTTACAGTTATGTGTAAATAAATCATAACTATCTGGTCTGAAATTTAAATTTATTTTATTAAATTTATATATGAAAAAAGTACTTTGTTCAAAGTATTTTTAACAACATAATGAATCTGAAACAATGCCAACTATGTATAAAAGTAGATAAAAAAATAAATTTGAACTTTTTTATGTTTTGAAACTTATTTTGTTTTCTTTAAATTTGAAAATAGTTAAGATAGTTGTAAACATTATTTTTTTTCTGTGACTATTGTTGGATATTAAATATTTCTATTCAACTTTACATTTAAAACAATGCAATATTACTTAAAATGTATATAACAAGACAATTTTCTTTGATTTATCAGCCCTAATAACTATGACATTGTTATCCCATAACCTGTACTGAATTGTCAAAATAGAAACCTTAACAAGAAACTTAAGAATAAAAAACTGGAGAGTGAAAAACTGGAGAAATTTATAGTTAAAGAAGAAACTTTACAATAAAAAAATACAATTGATTTTTATACTTTGTACTTGAGTTTCTTTAATTGCTTGTTTTCCAATTAAACTTCCTAAAGATACAGATTTAAACATCTGTGAGACCAATAGTTATGTTAAAGACAAACTATAAGTAAAAGCTTCCTAAAGATAACTATTATCAATGTGAAAATGCTCAAAAATGAATCTATGTTTTTGTGTTTTGCTTGAAATTAAATTATGTATATAATTTTAGGTATATATAAAAATGTTCAATATAAAACAGATCAAAACATTATAAGTTACTATTCTAAATTATAAAATGGATAATTAATAAATATAAAAATTTAATATTACATAATTATATAATGCTACTTCTTGTAATTGTTTTAGGGCAGTGTTTCTCAACAGGGGCGATATCGTCCCCATGTTGGCTTTTTCCATGTTAGGGGGCAATTAGTAACAATTTATATTTTGGGGGCAAAAAACAATTTTCTGGGCAATATAGTAAAACATTATATTAAGAATAATTAGATATTTTATTCATTATATCATACAATAATTAAACAAATAACATTATACTAGTCACTAGTCTATTCAATGCAGTACGAATTTGGCATTAGCCTTGGCCCTCAGCATCAGAATTTTGAAGTGAAGGAGACAATACTATGTAATGGTTTTATTGAAGGGAGCGACAATTTGTTAGAGGTTGGGAAACACTGTTTTAGAGTGTAATCAGTATGTCATTAATAGTTAATAGCGAGGTTGAGGCCGAAGTTTTAAATGTGAAAACGTGTATGTCGGATGTACAGCACTGCTTTCCTGTAAGCCTAGAAGTTTGACAATGGTGTTTGGATAGTCAGTGGAATCATGCTCAACATTCCAAACACCATTGTCAAACTTCTAGGCTTACAGGAAAGTGGTGTTGTACATCCGATGTAAATGTTTTCACGTTTAAAACTTTGGCCTCAACCTCGCTAATTACATAAAAAAAATACCAGGAAAAAAACCACTAAAATTCATAATGTACAGTACATATTTCTTTAATAATATACATTAACGCTATTAATATTTAATTATAAGATATAAAAAGACATACTTAAATGTGGATTCTCCCAAGCTGCATAGATATTCAAGGAATAAGCTAAGTGGAATTTCTGTGGTTCCAAGATCAATAATTCTGTCAGGATTTCCTAGAACAGTTCCACACTGAAAAATTCCAAGTAGAATTTATATTATCATGTACAACTTTATAAGTAAATTATTATAATCTCTCTAATTATCATAGAAGATAACTCAAACTTACCGGAGGACAACTGTCAATTCCTCCAGACCCAAAAAAATATTCTTGGTCAAAGACAACTATCCCTGTATGCCAAATTCCTGCTAGTTGTTTACCTGATAATTTAATAAATTTCAGATTAATATTCACTATAAATTCTGATCATAATTTTTAAATGCAACAAATTTAATTTACTAAAAATATATGTAACAATAACAGTTAATAATTATATAACTGATCACAATTTTGCCCATTGGCATATCTCTCTTCAAGGAATCAGCCAGCAAGAATGGTAGAAAATTACATCTGAATCATATTAGCAACAATAAATTATGGGGCTATGGATTCTAAACTGATGATAAATGTGATTAACAGCTTATGCAGACATCTGACAAGTAATTATGAAAAATTATGATTCATATTTGTTATAGCTGTATGCTACATTATATAAAAGACTCTTCCTCCTTTACTAAATAATAATAAATTGTGTTATTTATACTTATTGAGTTTATGATGTCTCGATAAACCTCATCATCAACTCAGCAGAACATAAGAAAATCTCTTCAAGTGTTTTCAGCCTATGTTTGAAGAGATATTGTTGAGTTTAGAATAAATTGTAGCATGCAGCATTTAATCTTTATTTTGTTTAGCTTATGTGTAAATATAACCTTGATAATAACACACTTCTTTAATTCAAAATTATAAGTAAATCATTTTAAGGAATTTTAAAGGATTTAGAATGAATTAAAATGAATTCAACCATAAAAAGTAAATTTAGAATGTTATACCTTTCAGATGATAAAAATATTTAACAATATAGTATTATAAAACACTTGAGTTTATACAGACGAGTCCACATATGTCATCATAGGTATAACTAGACACAATTAGTTAAGTAGTCAATTTTCTGTGGTCCAGGCTGACTTACATAGGCATTAATGTTAAAAAAACTCTGGTTTACTTGACACCGTTTAACTCATCATCACAAGTTAAAATCGACATACTTTTTCTGTCCCACACTCATTTAGATGTTGGATAAGTTGACTCCTCTCCTGAAAAAAGTGAGTTCACACCATACAGCTTAATGTCACAGCAGAATCCAATTTTGCATTTTCTCACCTTTCATTCATGCATTATTTGCAGCAAGTGTTTCACATTTCTGTTAGAAATGAGTATCCAAACCTAACAATGCTTATGCTGAAAGAAAAATACGAACTTGTATCTAAATTTGAATGTAAAACTTCGCAAGCCAAATTTGCAAACCAAGAAAACTTTCCAAGAACAACATTGGTAGGAATTCCGTAGAAAAAAAAGAGGAAATTAAGAAACTTTTTCTTGGGTTTTTATTGTGGCTGTCTCAAAAATGCCAGAAAAGGCACTGTACAACGATGTCGAAGATGCTCTGGTAAGTTGGTTAAAGCAAATCTGTTCATCAAATCTTCCAGTTTTGGGCTGATACTGAAGCAAAAAGCGATGGAAATCATAGAAATACTTGGAGTAGAAACCAACTTTAGTGCCAGTGATGGATGGTCAGAGAGATACATTGCATGTACTGTAAGCACTACTGTATTTTCCTAATTGTAGTTTTGTGGTTTTTTTCCAACTTTGTTTTAGTCGTCATATCAGATAGCTCGACACATTTCCACTTCCCCTTGGGCTGTCGACTCATGCAGATTCAACTGTATTTAAAAATATGAATTAAAAGCAGAAGCTATGTAGCAGAAAATCAAAAAGAATTTTCAAAGATATTAATAATAAACAATTTTTCTATTTAACTTGCATACTATCTAGATTTTGTTTCAAAATATGATTCTAAAAAATATCTAAACATGAATATTTCAATAAATGCCAATGAATATAGGAAACAAATTTCCAAATGCTCTTAGCAATAAAATTTTTCTACTGTATTTCCTTAAACTTAAATAATTGCATGATCAGTAGCATCATTATTTAGTTTGTAATACTAATTAAAACTGCATGTACAGCATGTCTTCATTTATCATCATCAACAGGTTCTTGGAAACTATGATGTTGAGTGAAACAATGTATAAGAGAACCAATTTTACCATAGGATAACATAAACAAGATATAACTTTATTATTATTATTCTAATAGGATTGTGTTTGCAACCTTCAGCATTTATTTCCCAACTCACAGAATCAGTTATACCATGTTTATAAAGAAAATTCAACAATAATTATAAATAATTACAAATGTACTAGTATCTTTCCTCAACAACATTAAGTGAGGACTTGCTATATATATATATATTTATTTTTTTTTTTTTTTTTTTTCTAATTGTGATTAATTAACTTATTAACAATAATGAATGCTCTTCATTACATAAGACTTTTGTTAATTAGGGAGAACATATCTAATTTGTTCTTTACATTCTATCTATTATTTAAAATAACATAACTTTTTATTGCAACCTTGAAGAATCAGTTCCTTAACAAGAGAGTAGGTGATGTCATGTTAGATCCATAATATAGCTTTTGTTTAAAATACTTGCTAATGTTTTATTTTTCTATAAATATCTAGACTTGCTTATGTTTTATTTTTATGTTTTTATAATTTTATTTCTAAAGGCTTGAAAAAGTATAATTATGAGATATAAGATCAATTACTTTTCTTTTGTCATTTTTAATTTTTGGCTATATTCCAAAATGTTGGTACAATATATCAAATTTTCTCAAATTTATATTTACTTATTTTTCATCTTTTGTTTCTGATTNTTCCACTAATCATAAAAATTTAATTAAAAGTTAAAATTTTTAATATTAAAATTTTAAAAGATAATTACTTACATCAATGAACACAGGAGAATTTAAAAAATTGGAGAATGCTGCCAAACAATTATATGCTGTAATAAAATCAATATCATTATTTTAGTTATGTATGAACTTTTAATTAATGTTATAAAAGCGTCAAATTTTAACCTGTTTCTTCAGATAAATCTGCTTGTAAAAGTTGCAAAACTGCAGTAGCTAATTCAGTGATTGTATTATTACCAAGTTTCTACGGAAAAACAATCTTTATAAGAGGAAGGGACATAACAAAATCTGACATGAGTATAATGAAATGAGATCAAACCTTATTTAATGAAAGATTATATAAAAAGTCTGATCCCATATTTTGCAATTCTGAAGATTCACTCAATAAACTATCCACAACAGCATTAGTTGTTACTTTACAATTAGTTAGATTTCTGTCACAATAGGACCACTTCCTTTCAGACATAGACCACTTAAAACTTTCCTCAATTGTGGATAAATTGCATAACTGAGAACATTAAAACATAAAAAATGAAAAAAAGTTTAAATTTTAAATTAATTAATGAAAATATAAGTTAGAAAAATACTTACGATTTTTAAAAGTTCTAATTGTAAATCAGCTGGCAGTTCACTCATATGAAAAATATATTTCATGATAAAGTTGTTTTTATCTTCACTTAACAATAATACAAATTTATTAGATAATGCTAAAGATTGCAACATTTGTAGAATCAATTTTTGGATTTCTGACGTATCTTCTCTGTCTAATAAATTCCCTATTAAAAATTCTAAATGTTAATAATTTTTAATTTAATAAAACAGAATATGTTGTAAAAAGTCACAGGGGAGATTCAAAAACATTTATTAACTTTTATATAAATCTTTAGATTGATACATGAAGGTGTATGATTATCCTGTGTGTATGGATTCAACTGACAGTCCTCAGGTTTTAATTAAAATATGTTCAAGTTATGTAGCTTTCATGTTATGTAATTTTAAAGTTACAAATTTATAATACTTATACAGTATAAATATTAATAATAATAACTATCTGATAACTGTAATGAAATACACACACACACACCACTTTCAAATGTATGTAAGCAAAAGAATAAGAATCCTAACAAAGAAAACCAACTTTGAAGGGAGCATGTACAATGTTGAGATTAATTAATAGTTTATTGAAAAGAGAAAAGTGGAAATGGAAACAAGATTGTGATATGATGTCATAAGGCATTGAAATAGGTATGAAACAAAATCCATTGTTTTCTAAATAGTTTTACTCATTTATTCAGTTTATTATCAATTCATTAAACAAACTTTTATAGACATGCATGTCTATATTAATGACTATAATCAAAACAGTTATTTTGTTGAAGTTAAGTTTCTGGTTAAAATAAGATCATTAATTTGATTTAATTAATGTTAAAATAAGGTAAGGCCAGGTAATTAAGGTTAATATAAATTAGCTATTTTTAAATAATACATAAGTCTTACCAAGTACTTGTAAATGTACTAATTCTAAATTAAAGATATCTCTGTTTTCTTTTGAATAATTTGCCAAATTCCTTAGCAGCTCACTTTCTGCAAGTTTATTTGGTGGTAATTTTGAAATTAAACTATTTACTACTTCTGCCATCTAATAATAATAAAAAACAAAACATTATATTAATTTTCAAAATAAATTATATAAAAATTCTTAATACAAAAGAAACCTCACATTATCATCATCAAATATTTTTGCTGGATTAAGATCAGTGGTGATATTTAATTCTGATTTCATGCAAGCAGAGAGATCATCCTGATGGTTTTCTAATTGGCTATAATTTTCAATATGTCTAGTATCTTCAGGAAAATCCAATGAATGATTTTGTTGAATGTTGAGATTAGTCAAATAAGCCTTTAACGTACTTCCTAAAGGACTGAACAAAGAAATAAATATATTTAACATAACAATAACTATTATATATATATAATATTGTCAATACATACATACGTATGTATGTATTGACAATATTAAATTCTAATCATAAAAGCATAATATGAAATACTTTTTAAAAATCCCTTGTATATGAAGTGAAAGTAAATGCAATTTTAATAAATATACAATAGAACCTTGTTTAAAAAATAATTGTTTTGTAATTCCTGTTTTTACAACTAGTATAAAAAATGTTTATTGAAACATAATACTTTTTTGTTGGTTAATAAATAAAAATAATTAACCATTCAATTATCAAAAAGACTACTTTTTAGCTATGCCAAAATGACAGATATCTTTTTGGCATAGCTTTCATGATTCCATTTTCTGCAGATTTTATATTTAATTTAATTTTCCTCTAAGTTAAGGTCTTTCAGTTATTGATGAATCAGCCATTGTTGTACATTCCATACACTGTTAAACCTAGCCTTTTCCTGAAAATGTATGGTCAGATCAATTCAAAAGCACCTAACCAACTTAACACACAATTCATAAATATTTTCAGAATGTAAGAGTTAAACAATGTTTATTTTGGCTCCTTAAGCATTAAGTAACTAATATTACACAATAACATAATCCTTCCCTCACATTTGGCAGCTTTTCTAACTGGTTTTAGGCTTAATGAAAACAATTCACCCCTTAGCAAAACTTTCACTTTTTATGGGATGTTTGCCAGACAGTGCAAAGTATTCACATGTAACTTACTGGAACCCATTCACTGCAGTGCTGTTAGTAGGGCAACAGGGACATAGCAGAAATTGCATACCTTACATTAACTTATACTAGCATATCATTAAATAAAATCAAGTTAACCTTACTGTAATTAAATAAATTAATAAATTATTTTTAATTGTAAGTATTATATTTTAATAATAATTTAAAAACATCAGATGGCATTTTAAAGAATTTAAACACAACATTCAATTACATATGTTATATTCAATTTTATTTAATTCTTTCTAAACAGATTTGTTTTTATTTAGAAAGTAAAAGTAAACTGTTGAATTTTTGGTTTTTTGAATTTATATCATTTTTATTATCATATTAAATTGAAATTATTTAATTTGAGGGTTATGTATAATTTCAACTTATGACACTGAACCTACAAGAAACAGTATGGATCACCTGAAAATGATCAGCTTGATGATACGTTTTAAGAATCAGTTACATCGTAAAAGCAGGATTTCTATGCAATATGAAATTATGACAAAAGTTTAATATGTTAAACTTAAAACTAATTCATATTTTTTGTCATTTGATCAGTTATTTGAAATTGATTTTATTTTTATATTTTAGAAATTATTTGTCTTTGACCCATAACAAAATTTTTGTATTTGTTATTGATAAAGCATGTTTTGTATTAAAATGTTCATTTATTTTCTTTATACAGATTTTCATAAGTTAAATTCAAGTTACTTACGTTGATAATACTTCATTTGGTAGTTCTAAAATTTCTTGTGGAATAGATTTTCCAGTTAGAAAAACAGCTATCTCTTGACTGAAGTTGTTACAGTTATGTGTAAATAAATCATAACTATCTGGTCTGAAATTTAAATTTATTTTATTAAATTTATATATGAAAAAAGTACTTTGTTCAAAGTATTTTTAACAACATAATGAATCTGAAACAATGCCAACTATGTATAAAAGTAGATAAAAAAATAAATTTGAACTTTTTTATGTTTTGAAACTTATTTTGTTTTCTTTAAATTTGAAAATAGTTAAGATAGTTGTAAACATTATTTTTTTTCTGTGACTATTGTTGGATATTAAATATTTCTATTCAACTTTACATTTAAAACAATGCAATATTACTTAAAATGTATATAACAAGACAATTTTCTTTGATTTATCAGCCCTAATAACTATGACATTGTTATCCCATAACCTGTACTGAATTGTCAAAATAGAAACCTTAACAAGAAACTTAAGAATAAAAAACTGGAGAGTGAAAAACTGGAGAAATTTATAGTTAAAGAAGAAACTTTACAATAAAAAAATACAATTGATTTTTATACTTTGTACTTGAGTTTCTTTAATTGCTTGTTTTCCAATTAAACTTCCTAAAGATACAGATTTAAACATCTGTGAGACCAATAGTTATGTTAAAGACAAACTATAAGTAAAAGCTTCCTAAAGATAACTATTATCAATGTGAAAATGCTCAAAAATGAATCTATGTTTTTGTGTTTTGCTTGAAATTAAATTATGTATATAATTTTAGGTATATATAAAAATGTTCAATATAAAACAGATCAAAACATTATAAGTTACTATTCTAAATTATAAAATGGATAATTAATAAATATAAAAATTTAATATTACATAATTATATAATGCTACTTCTTGTAATTGTTTTAGGGCAGTGTTTCTCAACAGGGGCGATATCGTCCCCATGTTGGCTTTTTCCATGTTAGGGGGCAATTAGTAACAATTTATATTTTGGGGGCAAAAAACAATTTTCTGGGCAATATAGTAAAACATTATATTAAGAATAATTAGATATTTTATTCATTATATCATACAATAATTAAACAAATAACATTATACTAGTCACTAGTCTATTCAATGCAGTACGAATTTGGCATTAGCCTTGGCCCTCAGCATCAGAATTTTGAAGTGAAGGAGACAATACTATGTAATGGTTTTATTGAAGGGAGCGACAATTTGTTAGAGGTTGGGAAACACTGTTTTAGAGTGTAATCAGTATGTCATTAATAGTTAATAGCGAGGTTGAGGCCGAAGTTTTAAATGTGAAAACGTGTATGTCGGATGTACAGCACCGCTTTCCTGTAAGCCTAGAAGTTTGACAATGGTGTTTGGATAGTCAGTGGAATCATGCTCAACATTCCAAACACCATTGTCAAACTTCTAGGCTTACAGGAAAGTGGTGTTGTACATCCGATGTAAATGTTTTCACGTTTAAAACTTTGGCCTCAACCTCGCTAATTACATAAAAAAAATACCAGGAAAAAAACCACTAAAATTCATAATGTACAGTACATATTTCTTTAATAATATACATTAACGCTATTAATATTTAATTATAAGATATAAAAAGACATACTTAAATGTGGATTCTCCCAAGCTGCATAGATATTCAAGGAATAAGCTAAGTGGAATTTCTGTGGTTCCAAGATCAATAATTCTGTCAGGATTTCCTAGAACAGTTCCACACTGAAAAATTCCAAGTAGAATTTATATTATCATGTACAACTTTATAAGTAAATTATTATAATCTCTCTAATTATCATAGAAGATAACTCAAACTTACCGGAGGACAACTGTCAATTCCTCCAGACCCAAAAAAATATTCTTGGTCAAAGACAACTATCCCTGTATGCCAAATTCCTGCTAGTTGTTTACCTGATAATTTAATAAATTTCAGATTAATATTCACTATAAATTCTGATCATAATTTTTAAATGCAACAAATTTAATTTACTAAAAATATATGTAACAATAACAGTTAATAATTATATAACTGATCACAATTTTGCCCATTGGCATATCTCTCTTCAAGGAATCAGCCAGCAAGAATGGTAGAAAATTACATCTGAATCATATTAGCAACAATAAATTATGGGGCTATGGATTCTAAACTGATGATAAATGTGATTAACAGCTTATGCAGACATCTGACAAGTAATTATGAAAAATTATGATTCATATTTGTTATAGCTGTATGCTACATTATATAAAAGACTCTTCCTCCTTTACTAAATAATAATAAATTGTGTTATTTATACTTATTGAGTTTATGATGTCTCGATAAACCTCATCATCAACTCAGCAGAACATAAGAAAATCTCTTCAAGTGTTTTCAGCCTATGTTTGAAGAGATATTGTTGAGTTTAGAATAAATTGTAGCATGCAGCATTTAATCTTTATTTTGTTTAGCTTATGTGTAAATATAACCTTGATAATAACACACTTCTTTAATTCAAAATTATAAGTAAATCATTTTAAGGAATTTTAAAGGATTTAGAATGAATTAAAATGAATTCAACCATAAAAAGTAAATTTAGAATGTTATACCTTTCAGATGATAAAAATATTTAACAATATAGTATTATAAAACACTTGAGTTTATACAGACGAGTCCACATATGTCATCATAGGTATAACTAGACACAATTAGTTAAGTAGTCAATTTTCTGTGGTCCAGGCTGACTTACATAGGCATTAATGTTAAAAAAACTCTGGTTTACTTGACACCGTTTAACTCATCATCACAAGTTAAAATCGACATACTTTTTCTGTCCCACACTCATTTAGATGTTGGATAAGTTGACTCCTCTCCTGAAAAAAGTGAGTTCACACCATACAGCTTAATGTCACAGCAGAATCCAATTTTGCATTTTCTCACCTTTCATTCATGCATTATTTGCAGCAAGTGTTTCACATTTCTGTTAGAAATGAGTATCCAAACCTAACAATGCTTATGCTGAAAGAAAAATACGAACTTGTATCTAAATTTGAATGTAAAACTTCGCAAGCCAAATTTGCAAACCAAGAAAACTTTCCAAGAACAACATTGGTAGGAATTCCGTAGAAAAAAAAGAGGAAATTAAGAAACTTTTTCTTGGGTTTTTATTGTGGCTGTCTCAAAAATGCCAGAAAAGGCACTGTACAACGATGTCGAAGATGCTCTGGTAAGTTGGTTAAAGCAAATCTGTTCATCAAATCTTCCAGTTTTGGGCTGATACTGAAGCAAAAAGCGATGGAAATCATAGAAATACTTGGAGTAGAAACCAACTTTAGTGCCAGTGATGGATGGTCAGAGAGATACATTGCATGTACTGTAAGCACTACTGTATTTTCCTAATTGTAGTTTTGTGGTTTTTTTCCAACTTTGTTTTAGTCGTCATATCAGATAGCTCGACACATTTCCACTTCCCCTTGGGCTGTCGACTCATGCAGATTCAACTGTATTTAAAAATATGAATTAAAAGCAGAAGCTATGTAGCAGAAAATCAAAAAGAATTTTCAAAGATATTAATAATAAACAATTTTTCTATTTAACTTGCATACTATCTAGATTTTGTTTCAAAATATGATTCTAAAAAATATCTAAACATGAATATTTCAATAAATGCCAATGAATATAGGAAACAAATTTCCAAATGCTCTTAGCAATAAAATTTTTCTACTGTATTTCCTTAAACTTAAATAATTGCATGATCAGTAGCATCATTATTTAGTTTGTAATACTAATTAAAACTGCATGTACAGCATGTCTTCATTTATCATCATCAACAGGTTCTTGGAAACTATGATGTTGAGTGAAACAATGTATAAGAGAACCAATTTTACCATAGGATAACATAAACAAGATATAACTTTATTATTATTATTCTAATAGGATTGTGTTTGCAACCTTCAGCATTTATTTCCCAACTCACAGAATCAGTTATACCATGTTTATAAAGAAAATTCAACAATAATTATAAATAATTACAAATGTACTAGTATCTTTCCTCAACAACATTAAGTGAGGACTTGCTATATATATATATATA